CCCCAAAACCCCAAAACCCCATCAACTAATATACTCATCAATTATTATAAAAGATAAAATATTATAAATAGAAATGAATATTTTAAAATAGCTGGCATAATCTCTTATTTGCACAGGATTTTTGCTATCAAGTGTTAGCTGTGTAATGGAGACTGACATAGTGAGTTGTCCTAGGTTGACATGCTCAGAGAACTTGGGTGATGGAGTATGCTTCATGCACTAAGCTACCAATCCAGTTGAATGGATAAAGTTGGCTTCATGCCCAAGTGGTTAAATCTGTGATGCCACTTCTGACTACGCATGGTATGATGTATTCAAACAGTCAATCGAGCAAGCAAATGAGCTAGGAAAGTCTTCTACTTGGAAGAAGCTTACTAAGAGCAGGTGTGATAGCTCTGCAAAGTTCAGGCAAAATCTACTGCCTGGCAGATACTGTCAGAGCAATTACGAATGCTCTTCATTCAATTGCACAGATAATATATGCAAGGGCTAAGCTAGTGGCACTTCGTGCTCTTACCATGATTAATGTGATAGTGGACTTGCTTGCATTGCATCAAAGTCATTTCCCTTTGTAACCACATGCAACTCATATAAAAAGCAAGGAGAGCAATGTGAATCTACACATGATTGTGATTTGAAGACTGTTTGCTGGTACGTCTCAAGAGAGGATTTCCAAACAAGAACTAAAAAGTGTATGGCAAAGTATCAGTTGCCGATTGGAGACAATTTTGGATGGGCCCCTGTCAATTATGATACTGTAAAGGATATATTATGGAATGGTTAGGTATGCTCCACTGGCTTTGCTATACCCTTCTATGAGAACTCAACTGTTACTAGACCATTAGGCATGTGTGTTAATATAACCAAGGTGGTTTCAGATTAAGGAACTTACAACAATCCAATATCAGATGTTCCTAAATGCTTAGCAGCCAACAAAGGTAGCTTCTGCAATTATTTCTACAACTCAGTTGATAGCTTTAAGACTAGATGCTACTGCGCTGCAGATGGTTCCCTTGGCTATTGCCCCTTGCCTAATTTCTAAGCAATGAGGAATTTCACTGCATTTGATGTATTTATTCAGGGTAATTCAACTAATTGCCATACTAAAGATAGAGATAACTTAAAGGCTCACTTTGAATGTGGGATAGGCGATGGGACTGTGCTGAGGTAATATACTAATGCTAGAATCCTAAAGGAGAATTGGAATTTCGCTTAGAGTTCCAAAGTGCTTAGTTGTCTGTAGAATTACATGCCAAGTAGTTATACCAATCTCCAATATAGCACAGGAGTAATAATATAGTTATTTGCTTTTGCATTGGGATCATTATGTTTTGGAATAAATCTAATTTGATAGATAATCCTGTAAATTAAAAGTCTAAATAGCCTAGCAAATATTAGAATCTAAGATTAGTCATGGGGTTTTGGGGTTTTGGGG